TGCTCAGAGGATATACAGATGGCAAATATGCAAACAAGAAGATGTTTAATATCATTAGTTACTAGAAAATGCTAATTAAGTCCACAATAAAAAATACCTTACATACCTATCAGAAAGGTTAAAATAAAAGGAAAAACCAAAGTTGGTGAGAAGTTCCAAACAATACCAAGTGCTGGTGAGGATATGGAGAAAGCAGATCATCCACACACTGCTAGTGGAAATGTGAAATTGCACAGCCAGTCTGGAAACACTTTGGCAGTTTCTTAAAACACTAAGCACAACCACCATCTAGCCTGGTAATTGTATTCCTGGGCATTTGTCCCAGAAAAATGAAAACTTATGGTTCACACAGAAATTTGTACACAAATTTTCATAGCAGCTTTATTCATAATAGCCCCAAACTGGAAACAACCTAGATTTCCTATTATGGGTGAATGGTTAAACAAGCTGTGGTACATCCACATTATGGAATGATATTCAGCAACAAAAAAGAATGAACTCTTGATACACACAACAATTGCACGAATCTTCAGGAAATATTCTGAGTGAAAAAAGCCAATTGGAAAGATTACATCTGTGTGATTCTGTTGATGTGACATTTTAGGAAAGATACCTTTTGGAAATGGAAAATAGATTTGTAGTTGTCAGGGACTTGGGGAGCCAGGGCAGATGGGAGCTGGGTATGATTATTATTAAAAGACAACTTGAAGGATCTTTGAAGTGATGATAATGTTCGTATCTTGATTGAGATGGTGCTTATGTGAACCTGCTACACGTGGTAAAATTGTATATAACTTAGTGAATAAGTAAGGATGGGAAATCTAAATAAGATCAGTGCATTGTATCAATGTCAATATCCTGGTTTTGTTACTATACTATATATAATTTTATAGGATTTTGCCACTGGAAATTAGGTAAAAGGTAGATAGCATCTCTATTATTTCTTACCACTGCATATATTAATAGTTATCTCAAAAGTTTCAGAATTTTTTTTTTAAAAAAGGCACTGGGTGAACACAGATGAGACAGTAATTAATTTTGCATGAGGAAGCTTTAAAGCCAAGTAATCTTTGAACTTGGTCATGAGGAATTAATAGGATTTTCAAAGGCTTTTGTCTTACTAGTATTTTAAAAAGAAAAAGCAACTAACACTGTTACATCCTCTGAGAAATCCTCTCAGTAGGTGGTTATGTCTGTGTGGCGCTTAAACTTGTGTCAATAACCTTAGGCCGAGGTGAAATTCAGGAATATCTGAGATTGTGAGTTAAAGGGCTAGAACAAAATGTTTGAATGGGGAAACATGAGTAAAATTTGGATATTGAGTGCCTAGAATGCCAAAAAGATATGTCTCAAAGGCAGAGAGGAAAATAGGCCTGCAGTTACCTATTTAGGGGCAAGAAGTAGTAATCAAAGCCTCAGAATGAAGGAATATACCAAGTAAACCCACAGTCTGAAAAGGAAAGAGGACCAGTGATGGACTCTGAAAAGCTCCAGTGTTTAAAGGGTGGAAGCTTCTTAGGAAAAGGTGGGGTGGAGGTGCAGAAAGGAGGATATTAGAAGAGTTAAAGAAAAGGAAAAGGCACAATTGGTAACAAGTTCCAAGCAAGGGTAGGCTGCCCTGTGCTCTGCTGCAGGGAGGTTAGCCAGGACAAAACTCCAACAGAAGTCACTACATTTAGCCCAAGTCATTTTCTTTGTCTTTTGACTATTTCATGAGTTGTTTCAGTGGCTCTGGGAGCCAGAGCAGATTGTAGTCAGTTGAGTGGGAGGGAGGTGAAAAATAAAAGGGGGATGCTCAGTATAAACATCCCTTTCAAGGAGCTTTGCTGTGTCCCAGGCAGTGAGAGGGTGCTTGACAGAAGCAGGGTCCTGAAGATGTTTTTGAGAATGAGGAGGATTTGAGCTTGCTGGCAGGCAGCGGGTAAGAAGCCATACACATTTTTGGACTTCTCTTTGGAAATTGCCTTCAGAGCCTAAGGCACATTTCAACAATGGCAAATCTTCATCTTTGAGAGTGAATTTGAGTTTTGGAAACAGCCAAGTCAATTTAGAGCCAAGAGTGGTAAATCAGGTGGGTGATCAAGCTGGATAATACAACTTCAAAAAAAAATAAAGTATAATTATAAAGCAGTAAAACTGATTTTCTTGTGAAGCTCATGAATTGGCTTAGAAAGTAGTTCTTAAAGAATTCCAAAACCTTTTTGAGCAGTTGTGGCATTATATGAATAACTGTACGGAGTCCCTTTGTAGCTTTCAGAGGAACACACTGATGTGCATGGAAGTCCTGTTATGAGTGTGAAAAAAGTTGATTTTGATACATATATTTATACACAGTGTGCAAATATAAAGTTGCTCTATAATCTTTTCGCCTAAGAGGTGACTTAGTGGAATTATACCAAAGTTTGTATGCGGGAGAATCAGGAGTTTCAAATTGTGATTGTTTAAACAGTTCTCTTGTGGTCTTACAGATGTAATTAGAATTCCTAGGATAGGAGTGTTCCCACAAGCATAATAATACTTTAAATGTGTGTTCAATTATCCTTTTCTATAGCTGTATTTAATCGGTTCTTTTTGAAATAGAGTTACTTTAAAAATATTAAATCACTAGCATAATCTGGGCTGTCTGTTGATTATGAGACAGTGCTGGGCATGTAGTAGGCACTCACTGAGTGTCCTTTTCCTGTCTTCTCTGCCTCGGGGCTTGATATATACCAGAGGAAACACCGAGAGAAAGCTCAGTTCCCTAGTAATAGATCATCTCCATTAATGTTCAGCCCAAAATATCCAGGTTAAAGAAAATTAACACGTGAAAATTTGAAGTTTTCATTTAGCTTTGTTGTTAATGTGGCAAATATACATATACCAAAACATGTAATTTATTAGATGCTTCTTTTATGCCTTTTTATGTGTTTAATTATTTTATACTCACGTATCACCTTATTGAATCATTAACACAACCCTCTGAAATAATCATCCCTGTTTTACAGATGAGTGTAGAGTCACTTGCCCAAGATCACATGGCTAACTGGGGCCGAGCTGGGACTTGACTTCAGGTCTGCAGTCTAGGAAACTCTTACCCACCATCTCCATGTGTCTCCACCTTAAACCCACACTCTTGGTAAACATTTTAAAAATCAATGAAAAACAGAAATCAATCAAAAATACTGCATGCTTCCCCCCCCCCCCCAATTGAGACATTGAGAAGGAAGTTAGGAGCCTTCTTCAAATCCCTACTGGCCAAAAAGTATTGTAGCATTGTACTTTGTGTAATTTGAATTACAAAAGCAGTTCTTTTTAAAAATTGGTTTGTTTTTGAAATGGAAACTTGATATGATACTCTGCCATGCCCTCCCTCTGCTTCCCAACGCCTGGTACCCCCTGGAGTGGGCAGCGTGGAAGCCTTGACTGTAACATCCTGTTGTGGCTTGTTAACGAGAGAGCATTAGAGAAAGCCATGACAAGTTAGCCATTCTAGGAAACTTTCCACAGCTGTTGCATTAATTAAGACTTTTTTGGTCCCAAATAACAGAAACCACTGGAGCTCACTTAAGCAGAAAGGGGAATTTGTTTTAAGGATCCTGTGGTGACTCCCAGAATCCAAGGGCAGGGAACCAGGGGCTGAAGAGGCAGGAAACCCAGAAAGTCTTCTCTCCGTCTCTGCTGCTCCTGCTCTCCACACATCTGCTTCCTTCTTGCCCTCACTCATACTGGCCTCATTTGCTTCCTCCTCCTCCTCGATGGGATGGCTGCCACCTAGGAACTACCACAGTCACCCAGAGGGAGCCTGATGTCTCTCTCCCTCTCCCCTCCTCACTTGCCTTCCTCCTTCCCTCCCTCTCCCTTTCTCTGTCCTAATTCCAAATCTAGGTTGAGAATCAGTTTGTCTGCTTTGGGTTACACGCTCAGGGAATGTCAGGACAGATAACAGTCTACCAGACCTCTGTTCCCTTCTACCTTTATACACCTTTATGTCACTGATTATTTCTCTACCCCAGGAGTTTGAAATTTTTAAATGACCCTGATACCACAAGGGTAAAATACTAGAACATAGTTTTAAGAGACAAGTTTAGCTTGAATCATCGCTTACTCTGCCACTTACTAGGTATGTATTCTTGGCAAATTACTTAAATTCTCTGAGCCTCTCTTTCTTTACAAGTTAAAAGGAATGTACAGTTATTATATTTTTCATGAGGTTATGGCAAGGATTAAATATAATATGTATAATGCTTAGCACAGGTCTCGCATACACTATGCTTGATAAAATATCAACCCTTCTTTCTTTCTGGTGACCATTAAGGCCCATTGCCTAACCCAAAAGATAGTTAAGGCAAATTGTGTTCCCATTACCTGCTTCTTTGGCCCCTTTTTATCTACTCTTGCCTATCAGGATATTTATAATCCAAAAGACTTTGGTTCTAAACCTGGAAAATTCTTTAGGACTGTTTTCCCAGGCCATAGCTAGAGGTCCCAAGGTATCACCTAAAGTGGATTCTGTCTCACAGGTATGATGGTACTTCTGGTAAAGGGATATTAGCTCTGCCACAGCTGCAGCCTTTTTTTCAGTGGTTAGAGCTGAAGGAGTCCAATTAAAGATTCAATTCAGTAAATATTTACTATCTCTACTATTTGCAAGACCCTGAAATTGGTATTGTTGCAATTAAAAAATATGTAATTGAAAGAAACAGTCCTTTCTGCCAAAGAGAATAAAGTCTAGAAGAAGAGATGATGAATCTATACAAATCTTTAATTCAAGATGTTTAGTAGAACTGGCTTACTACGGTCCCATGTTAATGAAGGTAAGTCATCTTAAGTAGGGATGGAAAAGTAGTTCGAAGCCAGATCATGGAGGATATTGAATGCCAGGCTGAGGACTGTAATGTCAAGATAGTTGGAAGCCAGTGAGGGCTTTTGAGAAAGGAACATAATCTGATGCTGTGTTTTAGGAACTTTATCCTGGCAGTCAAATGCTTAAGGATCTGAAAGGCAGGAGAGAAGGGAGACTGGAGTCCAGCTAAGGAGAGCTGCTTCAGCAGGAAACGAGGGTAGGATTAGGAATTCAGGGCTGATCCAAGGCTTGATAAAGACTGGATCATGGGTATTGGGCTGAGATAGAAGGAGTATGCAGGGTGACTTGAGCTCTGAAAGTGCAGGAAGAGGTGAGGTGCAGGCGGTCATCTGGGGTCACTTGGGGGCTCCTCCCCTCTTGAAGATGGAGTGGGACTGGAGAAGCAGCACTGTGTGTTTCACTCTATCCTGTGGCCGAGGGAGAGCTTACTGTAACTAGGGGTGCTGCTGTTAGAGCTTGACTTGCCCTGCCTACCTCATATGGAGACTTTGGGGGTGTTTTTGTGTTTTTGAGAAAGGAAAACTAGATGAATTCAGTGCCTTATTTGGAAACTCTCTGAAGCAAACAGTAATTATGAACATGTTTTTGTCTAAAACCTAAGTGTTTAATATTAAAATCAGCCAGGAAGTCATTACCAGGCTGCTTTCTTTCTTTTTTTTTTTTTAACTATAGAATCACCTCTGTGAATAATGGAACAGAATTGTGGCCCAAAGTTAATATTTAAAAGGTACACAAAACTAGACTTTGCTTTCCCCAATAATGAAAAGAAAAAATTCACACTCTTTCCTGTTAAAAGTTCTACTCATATTAGCCAAAGTAATAAGAGAATCAGTCCCTGATCACCCTGAAGTATAGCTAAAGTTAATTTTGACATGTTTGTTTGATATATTTATGTTATTATTTTCAGCAGTAAATTTAATTAAAATGCTTGTATATATTTCTCAAACAAGTCTCTCACCTCACTAAGCTGAGACTGTAGTAAATGTTCTCAGTACTTTACAGAATTGTGCAAGGTCTATTAAGGCTCATTCATGGTGCTTTAATCATTCTCAACAAAAAAACAATCATTTGGGAAATACATTTTCCAGGCAGTTCCTCTGCCTCCCAGGGGAATATTTTGAGGCCTCCCAGTGACCATAGGACTAAAAGGCTTGACAGGGAAACCCTAGAATCCTTGAAGAACTAGGCCTTTGAAAGATTCATTGTTGTGGACTCTGCTTTTGAAAGAGACCACTTTATCTTGCTCCTAAACATCTATAGGACAGACATAGCACTTGCTGAAAAGAAATTCTGGGTAATATAGAAGAACAAACATATGTAGGTAATCCAGTGTGGGTAGTGTGTAATTTGAAGAATGATAGTTCCATTTTTATGGTTGCCATAACAATCATACAGTTGTGCAAAAAATGTGTATAGCTTTTATAGAAGGGGGCTGGCACCACTGTAATGATTCTTCTCATATCAGAACAACTGTTTTCAGATCTGAAAAATAGGGGTGGCTTAACCCTTCCCCAGTTAGCTCAGCATGTTCCCTGAGAAGGCTCTTTGGAGCTCTGGAGCTGTTGAAATGTATTCATTACTTACATTTGCATTTTAGCCTGATAAATGGATTGAGAATTAAGGATGATGATCCTTTCAACAGCAGGTTCTGAATTCCTAGCTTGGGAATTCAAAGGATGAGAAAAAAAATACTGTTCCGCAAATAGAAATCTAGGAGAGATGTCTAGACATAGTTAATTCCTTGACTTTGTGTCTATTCTTAATTCCGTCCACTAGAATTTAAATCTGTTAAATACTGGCCTTTACCATTGTGTTTACATTTCTGATAAAGTTATATTAAAATTCGGTTATAATTTGTTTTATTTTAATATATTAACTATGTCTCTTCTGGAAATTGCAAAGCAAATTTGAAAGTGTAATATTTTTAAGTGAAAATGTATCTATTCATGTTCTTTTTTTGGCTACCTTTTCCTATTTTTGGCTACCTTTTCCAAAAGAAAATACTTGAGATTTGACTTTCTTTGACATACTAAGGAATATTCACTTTGAATAAACGATGTCAGAACTCTGTGTGCCAGTTTTCAAGTTGAGGGTGAAAAGTTTTCAGATTTGGATTTGGTACCTAAAAATGAAGTCAACCATGGGAAACTTTCTCTGAAAGAAATTTGGGGTAATTATTACTTTATTCAAAATGCTTCTGGGATGTTTAAATTTTAAGGAAAAGTATGGAACTCAGGGTAACTAGAAGAGATAGATGTCAACTTCCATTTGAAATAAAACTTCTTGGTCTGCTTTACTTCTTTTGACACCTTCCCTTTTGAATTCCTGTCCCATTAAATCAAAGTTGTGCACTTCTGTTACCTTAGGCAAGTTACTTAATCTCTCTGAGCCCCAGTTTTCCCATCTATAATACAAGAGTTAAAAATAAAACCCACCATTTCTATAATTCTGTCCTCTCAAGAGATGATTTCTAGGAGATAAGGGGGAAAAGGTGTTTTTAATGAGAGCAAGATTTCCCATGGTGAAATGAAGACCTCTAATATATCTATATCTATGAAGATTTTGCATGTTGTATAAGACTTTTTATGCTTAAACTCTTAACATTATGTTTAGATATTTGATCCCCCCATGGGAACATTTCCTGAAGCTTATGCTACTTCATTTTATCTAGTTTTAAAACTTAATTTGTATCAATCAGCATTCTTACAGCCTATCTTAAAGTAACCCCAATCTGATATTTTAAATCTAAGTTATAGGAAAACTCTACTAACAGAGGTAAAAGAAGTAAGAGAGATGTTCAGAGAGCGCTTTGGATAGAAAGGCTTCCCGGACCCACTGGGACTCAGCTGCTCTCGCTGCTCCCTTAGCCACCATGCACTTGACTGGCTGTCCCAGCACCCATCTGGCTGGACTCTCCACACCGGGCTCCTCACCATGACTGAGTGCTCCAACTTGTTATTTTTCCTGCTACAGTTACGTAAAAAATTCTGGTTTCTATATAAACTGATACCATCTAATCTAAGAAAGTGAGTGAAAATGGTTTTCTTTGTCCTCTTAAGGTTATTTCTTAAATATTTTCCATTCCCTTTCACCCATTCACCATCACTGACCCAGATCCTTCTCAACAGAACTGCTTGCTAGCAAGGAGACAAACCCAGAGGCATGGACAGAAGAGGGCTTCTATAAATTTTGTTAGTCTGGAAATGGTCCCTGAACCGCAGTTTGTAAAACACTGTTTTATGAGAAAAGAAGATGGGACAGACAGAAAAGGACACCCTTGGAAACAATAACTCTGTGGTGTGACCACAGGGTTGGACGCCAGGAGGTCATGAGTTCTAATCCTAAATGTATTTCCCAAGACACAGTGGCAAAATTGAATGGAAAAGTGCTAAAGAGAGCCCTTTGGTCATTTTTTCATTCACTTATCCATCAGCTATTCATTACTGTGTGCCGTCAGTGTGCTGGACGTGAAGCAGAGATAGTTCGGTATCAGAGCCAGACCTCAGGGGAGCTGCCAGCCTTGTCACAGTGATAAGACATGTCCATGAGTGACCAGCAGCATGCCAAGGCCATGCCCAGTGCCATTGGGAAGGGGCAGCTTGCAGGCATGGACGGGGCAGCTGGGGAGAGAAGGCTTCTGTTCTGTGAAGCCACGAAGTTTCCCTGGAAGAAAACATGGCACTGCAGCCAGGCCTTTAAAAGCTAAGTAGGTCTTAGACATTGGAGATTGGTGGGGTAAATGTCCCAATGTTAGAAACAGCACAAACAGTGTTTCAGGGACCAGAGAGTGTAGAGAAAAGTTTGGTACATAAGGTACATGTTGGGAGTGCTATCTAATTGGAAAACTAGGAATTGGGGCCATATCATGAAAGGCTGAATTTCTGTTTTACTTGGTAAGGAGTAAAGGAGTTGATGAAGGTTTCTGACCAGACACATGCATTAAGACGATTAATCTGGCAGCAAACATGACCTTGGGGAAAGTGATTTCTGTGATGTGGTAAGGGCCATGGCCAAAATCCAGTGAGGTGAATTGTGACAGTGTGGTGAGTAAATGTTGCTGCGGAGACTAGACAGCTGCTTCCAGCTGCAGGAGATAGAGATGTTGGTACCTGGAGGAGGAAGAGGATGCAAGGTCAAAGGAAGAGCATGTGAGTGACAGAGGAACAGAAGTTCTTTCTATGCTTTTGTTATTTCCCGGGATTCTTGGCCAGGTCTTCAGGGATTATAGAAAACTTTTAGTTATTCTTCATATGTTCTTTTCCTGGACCAATGGCTTTGAGTAAAACAATCTTAGAAGTTTTCTGTCGCTTTAAATAAAAAGTACTACTAAGCCCTTCAGTCACGTGCCTTCAGAAATTTTGGTTACATAACACTGCTCCGAATTGGAATTCTGCAGCCTCATCCTTGCCCTCCCCCACCTGGCACTTTATTTTCTGTGGGTCAGGGTTAGCTTCTTTCTAACCATTGTTGCAGAACTCTTTAAATATTTGGTCTTGCAGGTTCTAAAAGCTGGCAGGCCAGGCTGCTCCCTGCAGGTTGCGAGACCAAAGCCTTCCAGAAAAGGAGCCAGTAAAATCCCAGGCATGTTAACAGAGTGTAACAGCTGCACGGAGCACCGCCCCTGTGGGACCGTGCTCCCAAGTGCTGAGGCCAGCAGCTCCCAGCCACTGTGGCCCACAACCAGAAGGAGCCCTCATGCACCACATCGTGGCCGATTGGTAATTGTGGTGATGACAACAGATTAAATCACTGGCTCTCAGCACTGAGGACTGGGGTTTGTCAGGGTCACTCACTGTTCCCTTGCTTCTCCCAATTTTCCACAGTGAGAGAGCAAGTTTGGATTCTACCACTACAGTACAAATACTTTTTGGAAGCTCTCTGAGTTTTACTCTGTCTAGAAGTTAGTTCTCTTTGTAGCCTGCTTTGCTGAATGTCTCTTTTTCTTCCAGCATCCCCTCAACACATGACTCTGAAGTGTTGTAACCCAATATATGTGTGTATGTTTTTATATTCTGCTTTTTAAAGTGATGATTAAAGGTAACTTACAGATATACATATAATGCAGTGATTTTTTTTTAATTAGGTTACTGGGCAGAAGGAATATTAGGCATACCCAAGATAAAGGTTAGTTCACAAAGCTCAAACTACAAATGAGAGTCTCTTGAAACAAGTCAAAAATGTTTTTTCTGAGTTTCCTAGCAGCCAAAGCAAAAAAGGAAACTTAAAAAGATAAAATTCACACGTCTGTAAGGTACAAACAAACCATCAGCTCAAGAGAAGGAGAGTGGTCCTTGGGTTGCATAATATTGCTCCAGAAGTACACATGAAAGGGGCACTGAGTGATCAGATGGGCAAGGCTACAGTTAAAAAATTGGCCCAGCATTTCCCAAACTGATTTAATCACAAGAGCTCTTTTAAAAATTAAAACATTTATTTGGTACATTGGGAAACACTGATCTAAAACAGGGATCTGCAAACTTCCTGCTAATGGCCAGATAGATGTTTTAGCATATGGTCCCTGTCATAACTGCTCTACTCAACCCTGCCATTATATCCAAAAAGCTGACTACATTCCAATAAAGCTTAATTTACATATACCAAAATTTAAATTTTGTACAATTTTCATGTGTCATGAAATAATATTTCTTTTGTTTTTTTTTCAACCATGTAAAAAGGAAAAAACCATTCTTAGCTTGCAGGCCATTCAGAAACAGGTGGCAGGCCCAATTTGGTCTGTGAACTGTAGTTTGCCGACCCCTGATCAAGAATAATGTTTGTATGGTATGTCTTTTCCAGTAAGCTTTCCTGAGTACCATTCCTCAGAGTTGTTTTAATTTAGACTTTTATGTTTCTGGTTTAAGAACAGATTTGAAAAAAAAAAAAGGCATAATAGAGATTTGGTTTTGAGTACTTAAAGGCTTGTTTAAGATGGTCCTCTCAGAGAAAGATGTTTACAAACTAATAGTTGAAGCCTTAAGTTTTACTGTCACATGTGGCTGAATCAGTTTTGAGGCTGAAAAGGTTCTAGTGGGCATTCTCATTCATTCATAGAATAAAAGTCTCAAAACACCCAGAGACATTTGATTTTAAGAAAACAACTTCTCAAGTAAACCAGTAAACTGGTCCCATCAAGCTAACAGAGTGGTCTTTTTGATTTCGACTGGACGAACGTTCTTTCCGCTTCTCATGCTGGCATTACGGTGATTGAAGGAGGACCCAAACTTGCCCACCACCCAGTCTGACATATCAGTTTCAGTTCAACAAGTACTTATTGAGTACTCAGGATATAGAATGCAGTTTGCTAGCTTTTATGGGGGATACGAGAAGGAGCAAAAATCAGACAGTTCCTTCTTTACCTTGTGAATCAAGTCCAAGATCCTCACCAATTTAGAGCCCATTGCCATGGTACCAGGATTAATTTTACCTCCTTGTCACTTCCTGTCAGCATTCATTTATTCATTCATTCAACAAACATTTGTGAGTTGCAGCCTCTGTTCATAGCACTGAAACAAAAGCCTTTGGGGAGCTTGCTTTCTAGGGGACATTGATGTTTCTCTTTTCCTTTGGCACCCTTGTCTAATTACAGCTTCTTTTATATAGTGAAGCAGATTATTTCTTTATATCCTGACACCTCAACATTTATATTCCCCACACTGTATGTGCCTCTTCTTGACATACTTAGTGAGAAGAGTTGATCTCCCGATGAACCAGTCTTTCTGGGACCGTGCTCTAAAATGCTCTGTTCCTCCCTCTGGGTGGCATCCACCTCTCCCTGTCCTCTTTTCTTAGTGTACCGCTAAGTGTCTAGTTTTACCAGATTCATAATTTTAAAGCTATTAATTAACTATATTAAGCAATACTAGTCTATAAAACTGCTGAACATCCTTATAAACAGTGTTATGTATCTGATTATTCTTTGATTGGAGGAGATTCTCTGCATTATTCACTTTTTCCATTTATAATAGTAATGCTCAATTGTAGAGAATATTTTGAAAAATACAGACAAATATAAAGGAAAAAATTTAATCCATATTCTTGCACCCATTGATCAATTCTGTTAACTATTTTCATTTTCTTTCCTTGATTCAAAAATCACATTTAAATTTTAAAAATTAATAAACAGTAAAATTGACCTTTGTTATACAGGTCTCTGAATTTTAAGACACGTATAGATTCATGTAACCACCACCACAATCAAGATACAGAAAAGCTCTGTTCTTCCAGAACAAGCAGCCCTTTATAATCACACTTTCCCCAGCCTGTGGAAATCACTAATCTGCTCTCTGGCATATATGTTTGTCTTTTTGAGAACGTCATATAAGTGGAATAGTACATTATATAAGCTTGTGAGAGCGGTTTCCTTAACATAATGCCTTTGAGATTCATCCAAGTTGTGTGTATGAATAATTCGTTCTTTTTTGTTGCTAAGTGGTAGTCCATTGTGTAGATGTACCATAGTTTGGTTATCCATTTATCCACTTACCATTTGAGTCTTTTTTAAACATTTTGACATTTCTTAAATCCTGAAGTACATTAAAATCAGTGTGTATATTTAATATGGTGGGGTTTTTTGTTTCCCCAAAAAGCTATTATTGAATTGATAGTACATCCTAGGATCAATACTGTCTTAGAATCAAAGTATTGTAGTGGTGAGGTGATCAGTGTGAAGGATCAGAGAGGACTGTTGAAGGTTATTAGGAGTAAGGAAAGTGACAGTAAAGGGACAGATAAAGGTCTCCAGAGTTTTGCAGGCCAGTGCCCAGAGCTGCTAGATAGCCTCCGAATGCTTTAAGAAAGTTTTGAGCAGAGGAGCAATACAGGAAATAAGACTTAAAGAACAAAGCCAGTCCAATTTTGGTGAATACCAGGATGTCCGCCATCACTGGTGTTGATGAGTCAGGAGGAGACTGGGGAATGGCAGCAGTGGTGCTGTTGGGACCAGAGGAGATGGAGGAAGAACTTGAGGAGCATCCAGTGGGAGCAGGGAGTGCTGACTAGACAGCCTGCGGGTAGGAGAGGGAGGGTGGCTCCTGCTCAGCACCCCAACCTCCAGGCCAGTGCCTGGGGAGGAAGGGGCAGGAGATGTAGAGAACTGAGGACAGACTGCCTAAATCTTAGGTATTTCGATGGTAGAAATGGGTAGATTGGATGGGGCATGTTATTTGGGAAGTTCTAAAGCAAAGTGAGAATGTCCTGGGTCTTCACAGGTGAAGAATGAGATATGCATGGGGGTACTGTGTGAGATAAGTGGGCATAGAATGTGCTTAATCATGTGAACCTGAGCGAAGTATACAATTTTTTCATGGAAATAAACTGTGATTAAGGCATTTCCAAGTAGAATTGCCATATGGCTACCTGTATGGCCCAGAGATTTTTGCAAAGCTTATTCTAGGGTTCTGTCCCTGTATCACAACAAGTCAGATGATTTATTCTTTGGTATACCCCAGTTTTGCACAATAGAAGGAGAAACAGTAAATCATCCTCATATAATTCTTGAAGGACAGGTTTCCATTAGCCACTGAGGAAGAGGGAGGCAAAGGAAAGAACTGGCCACTGGAGAGAGATTTACCAAAGGGACTTGCCCCTCTTGTCAGATAACTCTTCTTGGAAAGCCTCATTCATGGAACCTGCCTCAGTCCCACCTGCTCACACCTATTCTTGCTCAGGGTCAAGGAGAAGTAGGTGCCTGTCCACAGAGAGAGAGAGAAAGACCCTCAGAGACAGTTTGGAGCCTTGTTATCCTCCCCTGTTTGTCTTACCTCCAGTTTCACATTTTACTAAAGATACCCTTCTCAGAGAAACAGGAGAGAAGTTACTCTCAACTTCACCTACTGTTTATAGATTTGCAAAATAACTGTTCTTTAAAGCTGTACTGCAATGGGATAAAGTTCCTGTTATTTGTGGCCTTGCTAATTATGTCTTCAATCTTTCCTAGAAGAGACTGTATCTTCACCATTGACCCATCAACTGCCCGCGACCTCGATGACGCCCTTTCCTGCAAATCACTTGCTGACGGTAGGATGGAAATTTCTATACCACTCCAGGTGGCAGGCAGCGCTCACACCTGTGCGGTCGGCCTGGCTGCCTTGTACTCCCCAGGCAGTGTAATGTGCAAGGTTAGGGTTACTTTGTTTCTGAACTTGCCCTAGTGAGCCTCTGTGACCTGAAGATTGTGTTCCTATGGAGACTTTGGTAAGAGTGAGATTAAGAAACATCCTCTTACTGGGACCCTTCTCAGGCCTCAGAAGAGGCAACAGTGAAGGCAAAAGAACCAGTTTCAGGCCTTGGCCCTTTAGGAAGTTCCAGTTGGGCATAATATGTTAAAGAAGAAAGCCCCTAAGGATTTGATGACACACTGGAGAGATGCAGGGGGTGCTCGGCGTGGGCAGGAGGAGCCCCTCCAGGCCAGAGCTGGAGGAGCCTGCACCACTCCCTGCAGGTCTCCATCTGTCTAGCAAATTGCCGAAGGTGGCTGTTAGGGGCTCTTTGAACGTTCTTTTGGAATGGAGCTAGGCAGAAAAAAGTAGACTTTGAGGCCAATAACCTTTGGAAACTACAGTAGGAGGGAAGGGAAAGTGTGTGCAGTGTGCGGAGAGCAAACCCTACCCGTCACCACCCTAACACCCCTCCTGGTGTGCCGCTTAAGTCTTTAGCTGCTTCCTGCCCCGTGTGGTGTCTGGTGACTGCCGTGGCTTTAGTCATTCTCTGATACGGCTTTAGGGCTAACACAGCCTTTGATAGCTTGCCCATGATAGGTGTCCACCCTTGTGGCTTCAGTCTGCTGCAAATGTTAGTAGCATAGTAGCCTGGTCTTCGAAAACACTGCAGAGACATATACATATTCCATTGATGCAAAACTCTGCAGGTCCAGCGTGTTCTTTCTTCTTCATAATAGACAATGAGGCTTAGTAGATAGAAGGCTGAGAGATAGGAAACATCACTGCCTAAAAATGCTTTCATCTTCTTTTAGTCAGAGTCCTCCTTGACACTGCGGGCAGTATTGCTCAGTATTTTCAACTAAAGAAAATTGAAAGAAAGATGAACCATAAAGAGAGAAAAGTTCCCATTGGAAATCTCAAGAGAATTATGTATTTTTAAAATCCAGAGTTTGAGCAGCCTACTCTTAAAAAGCAAATACTGCACTGGTTTCTTGTATCCTGTGCAGTCTTTGCTCCATGCAGAGGCTTTAGCACATCACTCTCACATCCATTCCCCAGAGCTCCAGTTGAAAAGTGCCCCCCAGCAGAAAGCTAGGTGACACTGGACCTCACTTCCTTTATTTCTTTTCTCTCCAAGTTCACAGCCCTGCTCTATTGGTAGCTTAATGCTTGGAAACAATTACTTCATTTATTTTGGCCACTTTCACAGTTGTTAATGGTGGAAGGGTAGCCCTGATCCCTGTTACCCCATCTCAGCTGGCCCGCATGATAGTCCCATTGCAGGGACACCAGGGAGCAGGCAAGTGTCCTACCCTGCTCACTCTGCACACTGTGTTTCATGTCTAGGGTTCCAGATTACCAGCAGAGGCTTCATGTGGGAAAATGGTAGAAGATAGGGGAGGAAGGGTAGACTGGGGACAGGTTGTACATACGTCAATTTCCAACCAAAGAGTATGCTTTGTCAGACAATTGAAAACCAATTGTTTTCAATCTGTTGTTCAGGGAGAACAGTCAAAATGAGGAAGATAATTTAGTAGTACAAGTTGAGGGAAAAGGAGAGGAAGTTGAGGCAGAGAAACGAGTCAGAGAAACATTATAATCATTTAGAGATACAGGAAAAGAAGCTGGACTGGAGATGGCAGCATTATTAATGGGGGTGGGACAGGTAGATGTGAAAAAGGGGTGATGACAGAAGACGCAACGGAAATCGATGTTGAGGTTGAGGGATCGGAATCCAAGATGGGGCAGAAGTTTCAACCCAGATGGCAAGGAGAAGTCTACAAGTTAGAAACTGGGAAATCAGGGAGACAGGCTGGTTTCAGACAGCATGCCTCCATGGAGTTGTCTGTCTGATGATATGTGTTTATATAAGCTGCTGCAAATGCTTTTCAGAGGAGGTAGGTGCAAATAAGCTAAATCTGTGCAGCCCATCCAACCATATAGGGAGAGCCATGAAGAAAAGTACAGACAATGCAGCAAAATGCTAACAGTGATTTTAGTAGGATGATGGGATCATAAGTGATTTTTCTCTTTTCTCTAGTTTCCAGATTTTTATAACGTGGTAATAATAGTTTTGTAATGAAAAAATTTGTAATAAAAAAAATTATGAGGTGCCAGAAATCACAGGCTGCCCAGTAGCCACTGCACCAGGTGATCAGATACCTTCCATCTGCTTAGTGATCCTTGCATTACAGAGGAGTAATTAACATCTGGTCATTTGGCAGAGCAGCAGAAAAAAGACATGGAAAAGGAGTCAGGGAAGAATCTGAAACGGCCTGAGTTGGGCTGTCAAGCATTATTATGGTGGCACTTCTACAGTTGGCCTTTGTGACAGCAGTTTCTGCCAAGGCCATTTATCCAGGGAGATGAAAAGTGAAAGTCAATTCCAGTTTGGATTGGGGTAAGGTTGGCTGAGTTCAGGTTCCGTTAGTTACCAGTGCATGTCAATTCTTGCTTAGAGGAAAAAATGTTTAATGTTTCAAAAGCAAATAATGTTTTCTGGGCATATTTACATCATCTATAACCATTTTTATTTAAAGAAACTATAAAGGTTAAACTTTCCTTTAGTCCCATTGAAATCATCTGAATGCCTATTCTGTGAAAATAAAACATGCAAACAAATGTAACTTATTTAGTCCTTACTCTCCCTCTCTGTAGAATTCAGTTGTACCCCAGGACTTGTTATCAATATCGCCTATAAGTGTGAGATTTAGACATTACAGTCTGCAGATAAATTCTGCAGAAACACAGTGACACCTGTTCCCCAGTAGGTCATGATTAGATTGGAAGGCTGAGGTGGGGTGCCTATTACCCTTGAGGAATCTCAACTTTGGAAGAGATTCTACCAGTCATCTAGCCTGGTAATTCTCCACCTCTTACAGCCTATAAACACACTTGAGTGGAACATTCCCATGAGCATTACCCAGCCTTCCAACTTTAACATGGAATTTTTCTCTTTAGCTCAAGAAAATATTTAATAATGCAAGTAAGGCGGGACTTGTAATGATAACCCAGAACCCAAAAACAGTTATTCATACACTTCATTGTTTTATTACTATAACAGATTACTTGCAGCACACCTCACAGTTGACCTCACCACTCACGTGTGGGAATGCCACAGTTGTCGCATCGCCTCTGTTTTTCAGATTACCTCTGAAACATCTACTTACGTAATATCCAGATTGCATTATAACTGTCTACCTTACAGGCAGCCCATTCAGCCTTAAGATTGCATGACTAATTAGGAAATCCTTCCCTGTAATGATCTGAAATACTGCAGTCTTCCTGTAATTTTTCACTCATTGGTCCCATTTATGCCCTTTGGGACTCTATGAACAAGTCTTATCTCTCATGTGACAACCCCTCAGATAGTAGATAACAGCTATCATGTATGTCTGAGTCATAACGTCTCAGCTAAGCTTCCTGTGTATTTTTCTATGAGCTGTAGCGTATGAAGTTTGAGCCCACTTCCCATGTCATGGAGCTACTTCTGCCTTTATGAGACAGTACGTGGCTGCCTGTATCCGGACTTCTCCTCCCTGGCTGCAAGGGCATGATGACTCCCTCCCAGCCAGTTCCTCTTTGTTGGGCAGAACTGAGTCCAGAGTATAGCCACCTATTCAGTTCAATTAAACATGTGTTACTGGTTTGTTCTAGTCTCTGAGAGAGGAAGTTATTAGCCAGACAAGTCAGGACCTTTAGGCTGATTCAGACTCCCAACAGATCGTACAGGAAATTGATGTGCACTGCTTCTCTGGCATCTTGTTTCTCTAATGTTTTATTCTGTAGTGAGTGCTCTGCCCTTGAACGTGGCAGGATTATCCTAATCAAGCCTTAAAAATAAAGGAAATACGAATGATCAACAGGCACATGAAAAAATGCTCAATATCACTAATTATCA